ACATATCTGGGATTGGGCCCGAACTATTGTAAGGGTTGTGGTGCTTGGCCCAAAGTGGTCAAAATTGCTCAAGAGGTTTGACATGGATGTCAGCCTCAAGTGGGTGATTGGCCTTCAAAATCTAATCTGAGAGAGCTGATGAATTGACTGCATAATATTTACATGGTAAGAAGAAAGTGATTGCAGGTTTTGGTGTTGCAGTAAAGCAATACAAGGCCAAAAATGCTATATAGATAGTGGAGTTTGGCCTGCTTGTTTGCCACAGCTGAAGCAAGAGATGATTACATTACCTTGATATCTTCAGCATCCGGAGACATGATATGATTGCCACTTAGCAAAGAGAATGTGATTGCAGGTTTTGGTGTTGTAGGAAGGCAAAATAAGGCCACAGCTGATGCAGGAGATGAATGAATGCATTACCTTTCCTTCAATCCAGCTTTCGGTGGCCTAATCAATCCTCATCATCTTGTTCTTTGAGCTTATTTATTTGGAAAGCCATGGAAATAATCAAATGCATGATTATTCCTCTTACTGAATCAGCAATCTTTCTGAAAGACTGTTGGATCCACGGACAGAAGAAAAAAGACATGGATCGAACAGGAACAGAGAGCTGGGAATTAAGATTTGGGCTTCTCCTGCTGTCTTGATTGCGTAGGCTGCCTCTGCTTTCTCAGGAAATTAATGATGGAGTTGGAGAGCTCGAAAGACAGGGCAGATCGACCTCATCTGTCAAACTGATCTCCAGCCAAAAAGAAGATGCCTCGAGCTATTTGCCACCCACCAATTACTGTCGGGCAGGTCTGAGTGTTAAGACACAGAATCAATGCAGTGAGAGAGTGACGACGATGATACATGAAGGATGGAAGAGAGCAAGAAAGAACCAAGTTGGATACGGATGATCTAGTGTTTGTAGACCTACATCAGATACTCCTATACTTGAAGATAATTTGCAGACCAAATGCAATCTCGTTCTTCACCAGCTTCAAGATTAGAAAAGAAAAACATGAAACTCTTGATAATTATCCGTTTGGTGTTATTAAGAGGAGAAGATTTTGATACCAAAAAAAAGAGATCAAGAATCAAATATTTCTGGTAATCTCTTTGAATCTATTAGAATCTCACATGGATTATATTGACATTTGTAGAAGCTACTTCTGTCGTCGTAGAGGTGCCGCCCCTGTATGTATGACACAGTGAGCATCAACAGATGGCCTTAAGCTTGGTCAAAAAGATGAAGCTACTTCTGTCCCAGCATAGATATCTAAACCAGCCAACTGTTTGGGTTTTAATATCTCTCTTCTGAAAGATCAGAATGTCCGATTGTCTCATGTTGAGACTATTTCTCACTTTGGATAATTAGCAACAGTGGCAGTGTTCATTAGAGCACACAGATTTGTGTTGCATAGAGAGAGAGAGAGAGAGAGAGAGAGAGAGATTGTTTATCCTCGGCTTCTCTTGGCCAAATCCATGCTTTAAATGACGCCATCTTCCAATCTCTCCTCTCCAAAGACTACGCCACAGAGGAGAGCACAGAGAAAGTTTCTTCCGGTCTTCTCCTATGGCAAGAAACCCTCCTCCAAATGAACAGTTAGCAGAAGAAGACTACATCGACATGGACTTCAGCTCCGTCACCTTCTTCTGCGCTTCTCCTCCGCACCCGACAGAGTTCGAGTTCCAAATGAGTGCCAACCCACAGCAGAGCGAGCCCGTGGCTTCTCCTGCAGATGAGCTCTTCTTCCAAGGAAAGCTCCTTCCCCTCCACCATCCCCCGCGGTTGCATATGGGGGAGGAGCTCGTCCACGATCCGACTTTCTTCAGCCGTGAACGCGGCTCGGATCAGATTGAGAAGAGTACTGCAGTCATCAGAACTCGCAGTGTTGCCACCTCTACTCCATATCAGTCCTGCAACGCCTCGCCCGCCACTTCTTGCTACGTCAGTGGAGAGCTCGAGGCAGATGACTGCTCCGAGGAGCTCATCCAGTCACACCCGAAGAGATCATGGACCAGGAAGCTCAAGTTCATAAAGGAAGCCACGCTTGGGCTGAAGCTGAAAGCTTCCAAAGCTTATTTCAAGTCCTTCTTCACCAAATCTCGGTGTTCGAATGAGAAATTTGCAGCCTCTAAAGACGAGCACTGCTCGCATGCCCGCCAAAAGGAAGCAGAAAGGAGCAAAGAAGAAGAGAAGACGAAGGAAGCAGTAATTGCAGGACACAGGAGGTCTTTTTCTGGTGCAAACCACTGGCAGTCATCAGTTAAGTCCTCCATTTCTTCTTCATCATGCACTTCCTCTAAATCTTCATCCTTTTCGAGTGTGAACTCCAAGGAATCCTCTGGACAACCGACGCTGAAAAGGAGCAGCAGTGTCAACTCTGACATAGAGAGCTCGATCCAAGGAGCAATTGCTTACTGTAAGAAGTCTCATCAGAAGGACTCGGCCAGAAGAAGCACAAGTGAGATTGGGTTCTGTTTGCTCTCTGTATCTAAAATTGCTCCACATAGTCAACATGAGAAGCCAAGAATTTGGGGAAGAGTGATGTGAATGATGTCCACTATATCAAAAAGAACGAGGACGATCGAATTGCAGTGTGTTTACCTATGTATGCCATGATTCAATCTATGAACGCACTGTATTCCTGATGAAACTCGACACAAAGAAATCTTTTATTTTACTTGATGATCCTTATTTTAGATGCTAAAATCATCTTTGAAACAGCATCGACGTGACCTTTGTTCTTGCAGCTTCTGCATCTAAGCAATGAATACAATGTTGCATGCATAAAGAAAGATGTTGTATTGCCTCAGTTGGAGGTGCCTTGATGCAAAGGTGATCTTAAATGAAGAGGTGCAAGTAGGCATGGAAATGAGGCAGCTCACTGCATTCAATCGGATTAAAAGCAATAATAGATTTACATATTGTTCAGTGAAAGGTGATGTATGAAGTGATAGCAGAGACTCCAAGTTTGATGTTTCTTTACAGTACACTGTCACTTCCTATCATTTCATGACAAACTTAATATCCTTTCATCTCTCTGCCTGTCACCATAGTATGAAGCTAGACATCATCAATCACTAGCATGGACTGTTTTCCCATTTATGGTTTGCAGTAAGTCTGTTCCCATCAACAATGTCCATGTAGGAATCAGCATTGATCTCTAGAGATTGTGAGATGCTAATCCTACCAGTTATCCACACATTACAATGAAACAGTTTCTCTGGCTGTCATTTCTGAGAGTATCTTTCACATTCTTGCCAAGTATATTTTTGTTGACAGACTCAAAAATGTAAGATTATAACCTACAAAGACAAACTACCCAAAGAAACAAATCTTCAAATACCTAATGTGATAGTGCCACCTGAGGTCATCTGCATGTCCTCATAACCTAGAGTTAGAAACTTAATACAAAGCCATGATCATAGCAGTGGTAATGATTGCAGAATACCACTTGTCCATAAGCTGCATATGAACCTTTGCTTTCAGAGAACACATTGCATAAACTCACAGGTTGATTCCTTGGCCATTAAGTAGTAGAAGAAAAAGATATCTAAGGTGGAGACAAATAAACCTTAAACAAGGCAAGCATGTCACCAAAAGGATTGGTATGATTGAAGTCAAAAGGAAGCAGGGCACCCCACTCAATTGATGCTGTTGAGCACTTGCAGCCAGAGTTGATGGGCACAGAAGGGGAACCCCTCACCTTTAATCCATCAGCATGCATGATATCTTTTTTATTCTGGTTATCATATGAAGGTCTTTCCCTTATGGGTATCTTTCATTTAAATACAAACACCACTTTCCCTGGATGAGGTATGGGTATGCTAAAACTTGATATATATATATATTTGTAGGTAAGAACACACTGCCTAAAATATGAGATTTCAGTTAATGATTTGTTAGTATCCACAGCAATATAGAGAGAATCATAGTTTAGTATTCACAAACTCAGTGATGAGATTTAAGCCTTCTTATTGAGTTCTCAAATGACATGAATATTTCAGGAATTAGAGAACTGAGCCACATCAGATTCCATTTGACAATTTGTCCTATTCTCCTGTTACAAAAATGTGGAATGTTTTCATCATATCAAGAATCCAAGAGATACATTTTCATAGACAATGATATATGTAGAAGTGAGGCAGACCAAGAAACAAACTAGGATGAAGTGCAATCATATGTCGAAATTGTCATGCAAATTACATATTTTTAATGATGTTAATGATGATGGCAAAAAATAAATAAACATATCTATTTCTATAAAAGAAATTTATAGATCTAATCAGTTTTGACAAATCTCAAGATAAAATTTCTCGATGATCTCGACCCGTAACCCTAAGATCAATTTAGATGGTTAGTTTGATCTTCGATAAAAAGTTATTGTTAAAATGCATCGTGTAAGATATTTTCGATACTAAAGTTAACAAGTATCATAAATAAATTTAATAAACGAAAAATGATGATATTTCTAGAGAAGAGCTTAGACCACAATATATTCTTTCGATTAAGAATAAAATATTTATTGGGATTTATTAACCTATTTTGTGGGTATATGACATGTTAGGATCCAAGTACCTATTTTTAATTATGGAAAATATTTATCATATAAAAGATAATTGAAATCAATCAAAATAATAAATACAAAGCGAACAATCATAGTATAGAAAACATTTCGAAAAGGAAATAAAATATGAACTATAATATCATGAACTGCCTTGGTTATCGACGATAATCATGATTAATTAACGAAATTTTCTTTTACTTCTATTATTTTGATTTTTTACTCTCAATTTTGCACGAATTGATTTAAATTGTTTTTATTTTTATTTTTTTGGGTATTTTGATTTTGAACACTAATTTTCAGGGGTTAAATCATCAAAGTCCGAAAGCCCATTGTAAGCAACATATTGGGCCGGGCCAATGAGGCTTTTGGCCCAACCAAACCTACTTGCGAGCCGACTAATCTGAGCCGAGCTCCTTTAGCGGCTAGGGTTTTGGAGCTCCTCTCTCGATATATAACTCTTCCTCGCCCACCGTACCTGATTAGGGTTTGCGCGCGGCGGAAGCGGAAGGGGAAGAAAGCGACGAAGGGGGAGAGGCGATTCTATCCCGATGGGTAAGAAACTCTTTCCGAAAGGTTAAAGCCACTCTTTTCGATTGATTATGAAGAGTAATTTGTTGGGTGTAGCGAGGATTAAGGTTCACGAGCTTCGGGGGAAGTCCAAGGCGGAGCTCCAGGCCCAGCTGAAGGACCTCAAGAACGAGCTTTCCCTCCTCCGCGTCGCCAAAGTCACCGGTGGCGCACCCAACAAGCTCTCCAAGATGTGAAGGATCCTCGCCCCCTTGATCTGTTGTTCTTTTGTTCGTGCGCATCTTGTTCCTTGATTCAGCGCCTTTTCAAAGGTTGATCTTTTCGTGATTTCTTTTGCAGTAAGGTGGTTAGGGTGTCGATCGCGCGGGTGCTGACCGTGATCTCGCAGAAGCAGAAGGAGGCGCTGAGGGAGGCCTACAAGAACAAGAAGTTCATCCCGCTCGATCTCCGCCCCAAGAAGACTCGTGCCATCCGCCACCGTCTCACCAAGCATCAGGTAACGTTTTTCTTCGGGCTGCCTCTTCTTATGTGTCCTAATACTTTATTCTGTTTTGATGAAGAAGGAAAAAAACCCTAAGAAAATGAACTTAAGTCTTGTAAAATACTTTTAAATGTGTGCATTTAGTGTCAATTTCATTCAAGATGCGATTTTTTGTACTGTATGATTTGGTCATGTGTTTCTTGTAGTTAAACACTAATGCTTAGTGATGTAAGAACATTATTTATCATGATATAACACTCATCCACTTTATTTTATTCCCTGAAATGTTTGTTTGGGAAGATGAACATTCCCAAAAAGACCATTATTGCATTAAGTTTGTGCCCTTGGTTCTTCAAGACCATTTATTATCTAGCATTTCAGATCACTGTATACTTGAGTTGTGTGGTTTTGTGAACAGAGTTGTGTTTCTTGGATTATCTTGTGTGAAGGTGTAGTTGCTAATATTGCATTTAAATTGCCTAGTGGGAAATGTCAGGTTTAGATCGACTATCACTGGAGAATATTAGGTTGCTTGATCTGCAAAATAATCCAAAGAGTTGGAGGATTGAATTGTTTTCTAGTTGCATGACTTGTCTATTCAAACAAGTTTAAGTTCCTTGTGATCATATTTATCACTGCACCTTTGCACTTGTGAAGTTTGTTTCAGCTGTCTGATTTTATCATGAGGTGTGTGTGTATCTTTAGTTGCAGACACAGGATAGGCTCAGTATTTCTTGTTGTCTTTGGAGCATTAGAAAATTTAGCTATACGGATAATTAAGCTATGTAGATGGTTGAAAAGAAGATTAGAGAAGGAAACTTGATTTGCACTTTGGGATTATGAACATTCTTAAAAAAGACAATGACATCACCAAATTTAAGTCTGTCCAAAAGGGCTGATTTGCCAAGTAAATGGAGAATCCAGAGATCACTTGGCTGTGTTATTTATTCATACCTGAAGAGGTATTGAAACTATGAGCGTCACTTTTGACATCTTCATCTCTTTTTTTCTTGTATATACATGTCCTTAACATAGTTCTCTCTTAAAGAAGCATCGAGTAAGCTTATGCTATCTTGTTCAACATAAAATCAAATATTTATATTGCAATAAAATGCTATATAAAATGACCATTATGTTCTGGTTTTCGGACTATCTGAAAACTGTTCTATGGATTGGATGAGCATGATATCTGTGGTTTTATAATTATACTAATTCAGATCAATGCATTACATAATATCTCTGTGAATGAAGTTGATTCAGATCAATGCATTACAAAATTCCATGATCGGTCATCAAGTAAAAGCTCTCTAGAATTAACATCAATGTTCTTTTTATTTGCATTTGCTTTTTTATTTTGGGCCACGGTTCATAGATTGATGTCGTGTTTCTTGCGTACCACAGGATTCATTGAAGACAGAACGGGAGAAGAAAAAGGAGATGTACTTCCCGATGAGAAAGTATGCCATCAAAGCTTAGATTAGAATGCTTATGAATCCACTCTTGCTTTATAATGAGTACTGTATGTTTTGACTTGTGCTTTATCGATTAATTAATTTTGCAACACTATGGTTGGATTTTGTACTTTAAAATGGCTGAGGAAGACGATATATTGTGTGATCAACTTGTTATTACATGGCAGCATTGGTCTGATTTCTCGATTGTGTTTCACAAGATCACAGGTTATAAATAGGTTGGTCGGCATTGCCAAGGAAAACAAAATGCTCCCAGTATTACTTGAGATAAACATGAACCGAAAGAACTTTGTGTTGCATGCTCTCCCTCTCGCTGCTGCTTTTTGACGCCACAGCCTGTAGTATGGCAATGCCATTTGCGTCTCGATACCTTCCGGTGCCGCCCACCACGGCGATGTGGGACTCCGCTTGGGCCGGCTGATGGACTCCGAAGAGGCTCAGACTGTCCCCCGTCTCGCCGCGACCACCTGCGAAGGTGACTCTCATCGCCACAATGTGGCTGCTTTTGTCCTCCACGCTCGTCACATATATCCCTTGCGCCTTCCCCGACAGCGGCGACCCAAGCTCGACGTTGCCGGCCAGCTCCTCGTCGACCGCCGTCACTGTTCCGGCCTGCAATGCCGGTGCGCTCGCGAGGATCGGTAGCCAGCCACTTGCCGGACCTGTTTGATCTCTGAACGGTGTTCTGCCGAGGTCGACGCTCATCGGCTGTGGTGACCGTAGCGGGGCGCCGCTGTGCCGTCTCCCGAGGACGTCGTTCATTATGAAGGTTATCGTCTGGTCGGTCGCAGGGGAAGTCGTTGTTTTGTGATCCAAATTCCTCGCGGAAGTCGAGAGGTCGATGGTGACTAAGACGAAGAAGAGAAACAGGAGTAGGTTGGACTTGTAGGTGGCCATCATTATCTGCTAAATGGGATTCATGGGCGGTGAGTTGAAACCCATACGTGTGGTGTTTATATGGACGATGAGGCTTTCTTGACGTTGGAATGGTTTAGCTGAGCACAACAACGATCATAATGGAGTGGTTTAGTCAGAGCTGATGATGCATAGCTTTGCCAAACAAAACAACAATCACATCAACTCCATTTCCACAGAGAGAGAGAGAGAGAGAGAGAGAGAGAGAGAGAGAGTCTGCAGAACTGCTGACTACATGATGAAGCTGCATATAGATTTTTTGTAGTGAATCCTGGGTTCTACTGAGTACCATCCTGACACAGATGAAAAGGGTTGCTGCCTCATCAATTATAATTTGCTGACCACAAATATTTATGATTCATACTTGGAGTGCAAGTTCAAAGCTTCTTCCTTGCAAGACAAGGAACATCATGAAGCCCATCCTGCACAAGTCAAGAACACTAATTTTCTTCTTTCAATTATTCTGTGTGAACATATGCATGCCTGGTGAAGCATTAGCTTTTCTAATTTCCAACATCAACAGAGTAGAGTTTAGTGGGAGAAGTATGATCAAAGAAAGGTTATATATATATTATGTTCTCCAGCACTCTTATCTTGTGTAAGTCTAGTAATCATGGCCAGGTAATTAAGTAGCAAGAAGACCAGAAAAATCCATCAAACAGAGGAGAGGCCAAGTATTCAGCAACCACAAATTAAGGCTAGTTATTGGACACTACTCACATGATTACTCCTAATAATCTCACCATGCTTAATCTACCCTTAGTGTTTATGCTCGTTAGAATCATAGGATAAGAAGATCCAAATTGTTTATGCTCACAGAATTGTCGGCAGAATTCTCGAGGGAATAATTGTTATCAGCGTATTTATTGGCTTGTCCTACCATGACAAGAACAGGTATTAAATAGTAGAGACTTGGATGCATGACATCCTTGTCTCAATTAATCAAAGGTTAGCTCTGATATCAGAAGGCACACCAAGTGGGCACACCTCTGCCATGCATTCTTCCTGGAGATGTCTCGGAATCGGACTGGTTCAACTGTGGGTTGGTTTATATTCATGGATCACAAGGGAGAGAAAGCTGGCTAAGCTCGAAGGTTTGGTGCTTGGATTAATTCCTGTTGCTCGCTTCTTTCTTGGCACTGTTCTCTACTGTGATCGTCAGCCCAATTTAGCCTGAGCAGCAAAGTTTTCAGGGAAAAGAACAGAATGATTTGATGAGAAGAACCATAAGTTTTCCCACTAGTTTTCGGATCTCACAACACATACGTTGTTCCACATAGATGAAGACTTTCGATCAAAGGGAAGGCCATAACTGAGCATTCTTAACCTTGGAGACGCTGTCTAGGACTCCCAGCGGCGTCACGTCTCCGATCACCGTCACCTTCTTCGTTGCCAAGTCTATGTTGAATGAGGTCACGCCTGGTTATGATGATCGGTTAGTCCGGGAAACTGCAAAGGATGGATGCTCGAGGATTTGTAGTAGCTGTTCTCACCTTCCATCTTCGAGATGTGCTTCCTGACCTTCATTTCACAAGCTTTGCAGTGCAAAGATACCCTCAGATGCACAACCTTGGACGATATTTTACGTTTGATCAGTGGAGTCGGAAGAATATTGGCAGATAGCAATCGTTCTGATGTCAAACCTGTTCTTGTGACGTAGTAGAAGACGGTGGCTTCAGGACAGCAGGTTGATCCACTGAGAGAAGAGGAGCAGCAGTCACCACGCTCGGGAAAACATCGAAGAAGTCATCGTCGTTCAACAAGTATCGCGAGGAGCCCGGCGGAGTCACAAGATCAGATGGTTTATCCAAGATCTTCCTGCTCCTTTGGTTGCGAGATCGCCTCTCTCTGGTTGCACCAGACATGGAGCCGAGAGCAGAGTTTGCTCTCCTTGGATCTCTCGGATGAGTCGTGTGCCGGTCGGCCGCTCTTCCGGTGCTCCCTCGGACCATCGACCGCCGATCTATGCTCGTGCATATCGCTGCTGATGCCGGTGATACACAGGAGAAGTTCACTCCTTTCATTTCCCTGAGGAGAGAGAGAGAGAGAGAGAGGGAGAGAGAGCTTAAGGGGACTACTTGCAATGGTTATCCTTATAAGCTTGAAGAAAGAGGTGGTGGCCAGAGGAGCAATGTGATGCTCGGTAAGACTGAACTATTCCAAGGCCCAATGGTGGCCATGATTGCTTCTACTTGCACCAAATGGGTTGCTGCCACCATCCAAATGATATCATTAACCTCATCACTCTCTTATCATGATGCTACCATGCATCATCAGTTCCAGGTTTCAAGCAGGTGTTTGCTCACCCTGTCACTATATCTTGGTTCTACATTATCATCTAACAGTCTCTTAGTTTCATGATTTGCCCAGCTTAATTAATTAGATTCTGCAACATTGATGATTGCTATAATCTCTGGAGCAACTTATCTTGTACTCAGGAAGTTTGTCTTAGTGTAATCATTCTGCAAGTAGCATCAGAAAATATTCTTGGCTACCATTGCTCAAGTCCCTTGCTGAAGTACTTTGTCTCATCATGTAGATTTATCACTATCTAAATCACTTGACATGCTTATTCTCTTTGTTTCAAATATAATATTATCATGGAGATAACCTACCAACTTATTAAACAAACAAGACTCAAGTCCTTAGTTTCATGTGACTGCAAAGCAAAACCCAGACAAGAAATCAAACTCCATAGAAGATTAGACATGCTGTTCTCTTGTTGACACACAACTTTCAGTCCAGACATACCCTGCAACCTCATGTAATAATCATCAATTATGTTATGAATGTGTAATATAATCAATTAGCCATCACTTGTTTGTATAATTGCTAGCTATGATTAGAGTCAAATAAACCTACATGGGTGATGTTTATGTAATAATCAATCAGCTACTTTCTGACAGTATCTTTCTAGTTAATGCTGCATCTCATCCATATGAAGCCTACAAAAACTAGTGATCCATAAAATCACTGGGGATGAATTGAATCCTTCTACTGAAGACTAATGGGTGGAATGACCCATCTCCTGTATCCTTTTTTGAGATGAAGCAGATCACTGAAATGACTTGGCACCAACCATTTGGGACCCATCTCAGGAATGATGCTAGTAACCAAGTCATTACCTCTTTTTGCTCTCTGAAAGCGTAGTCTATGCCTCTTGGCCACTAAAAATTTCTAAGGAGTGCAGCAACTCAAGGTCTTTTTATGTCTATTTTTTATGAACCATCTAATAAGACTACTCTCTTTGATGATTCCTGAGCCAGAAGTAAGTAAATTGTCATTGACTTGACTGCTGTTGGTAGATTGGCATGAAAAGATCATTCTATCTTGTTGATAGCAATTTTGACATTGAGTTTTGAAGACTTACCATCTCTCAAAGAGAAAAAAACAATTAAACTGAAATGTTACAGATTTAAATTGGTTTGTGGAACAGAGTAACAAATAAGAACAAATTTCTCACCTAAACTATATGAAGGCAGAGTTTCCAATTGCCTTTCAATTGATCCAGGAATTCTGTTCTGAACAATTCAATGATTTTTCAGTGCTGCCTCTGTTCATCAGCAGTAAAGAGAAAGTTGAACATACACTTACCAATAATAAAAAAGCTTCAAGTGATGCAAGCACAGAAAATAATTGTATGTATGTATATATATATATCCTCCAAATATTAACTTCTTTTACATATATCATTGTCATTGACATCCAATTAATATAGGTTAATGGTGGTCAACATTAGTATGTTGGAGTTGAAAATATGAAATACCTAACACATCTCTACTGATTTGACATCAAGATGAGTATTTTAAAGAAAAAATAATGTAAATTAAACCTTTGATCCTTGATTTCCAGCCATGAAAGATGAAAATTACTAAGGTGACATAATGTCAGGATGAATGAGATGCTCTCCAAACTTAGGTGACATTAATGTCTGTATATAAGGATTTGGTCCATGAAATGAAAAAGGAATTGCCAGCAAAGGATTATGTGCCAGATAGCCGTTAGATCTCAAATGGACGGTTGGATGTATGGATTCCAACCCGTTTATTCTTGAACCCGTTTGATTCGTACTCCTGGTCTTTACCTGCCCTCTCATCGAAGGTAGCAGTGACCCTCATGGCCTCTTATATGGGTCCCACCGAACAGTAACAGTAAAAGGGTAAACTTGGTATGCCGGTCAGTGGGAAGGAAAAGCTCTCGAAGTCGCGCGAGACTGTCGGTTGTGGTTAACCTATCAAGTTGTTAGTGAAAAAGAAACTCGATATCCTACCGTCCATTTTGAATCTAACGGCTGCTATAATACTCTTTATGAAATGTAGGGCTGCTGATGGAGGCTTCGGGAAGGTGGGGCCATCAGAGGGCGGTGATCCGACCGCGCCGTTGGAGGTGTCGACCCCGCCCATAAACCCCCATAGGAGACGGACGAGTTGCAGAAGGGGGGCGACGAGATGAGGATCGAGGAGGTCCAATCTGCCTCCAAGAAGCAGCGCATCGCCACCCATACGCACATCAAAGGCCTCGGTCTCGATGTATTCCTCTTTTTCTATTCCTCTCCTTTGATCTCTCGCTGTAGCCCGTGGGGCTCGGTTTCTAGGGTTTAGGGTTTAAGTGTCATTGTGCTAACACCAGCTTACGGCTTTGATAGCGTTGTCTTCCATGTGAAATCTTGTAGAAGGAGGAATCTTGATTGTTTACTTTTGTTTTCTTGATTAAAGATTATGATTTTGGTGGAAAATTCGAAACTTTGGGATGGCTTTTTGATGTCCACTTTTTGCATGTTAGGCGAACGGAAATGCTCTTCCTTTGTCTGCTGGGTTCGTCGGGCAGGGGTCTGCTAGAGAGGCAGCGGGCATTGTTGTGGATATGATACGGCAGAAGAAGATGGCTGGGCGGGCACTTCTGCTTGCTGGGCCTCCCAGCACCGGCAAGACTGCTCTGGCTCTCGGCATTTCTCAGGATCTCGGAAGCAAGGTATTCCCATCTGCTGATCCTTATTTATCATGAGAGTTTCCAACATTAATAACAGCTGGACAACTAATTCATAAGGGATCATTGTGAGAAACTCGTCATGTGACTACTGCTTGAAGGTTCTGAATATGATATTGCATGTTGACCAGTTTGCACGTTGCATTATGCAAAAGTATTCCACTTTTATGATGCAATCAACGATACTAGTAAATGGTTGATTCACACCTTCAAGCCTCTGATTACAGCTCATTTTGATGCCCTTAGTGCATGCAACTTAATTTTATCCAATTGATATCCAAAATTAGTATTGCTTATATAACAAATATAGCATGGCCTATCTTATTGTGCATCTCATGAACATAGATATCAGATATAATTTATTATAGTAAAATGCTTTGTCACTTATTTTATATTTGTATCGTTACCGATGTCAAATTGAATTTTAGGTCCCCTTTTGCCCTATGGTTGGATCAGAAGTGTACTCATCAGAGGTCAAGAAAACTGAGGTTCTTATGGAAAATTTTCGAAGGGCTATTGGTCTGCGTATCAAGGAGACCAAGGAAGTCTATGAAGGAGAGGTACTGGTTACGTATTTGGTTTCCTTGGTTATGGGACACCCTAATATCTTTCAGTTTTGGCCTCTTGTATTATGAGTGCCTCCCTGTCTTTATTTTCTTATTACTTGCATAGCCATAAGTTTGATCCCTTTTCAGGTGACTGAGCTTTCTCCAGAAGAGAGTGAGAATACAACTGGTGGATATGGGAAAAGCATAAGCCACATAATTATTGGACTAAAGACTGTTAAGGGAACCAAGCAATTGAAGTTGGATCCAACTATTTATGATTCTTTGATCAAAGAAAAGGTAAGTACCTCTCATGTTAGGGTTTTGTTACATCGTGAATTGGTGTCTCCTTTTGGGGAACTTTTTCTGTGAGGGCAAAACTCTCTTTTCTGTAGCTACTTCTAATCATGAGGCATTGTTCATGCAAAAGTTATTTTACTTTTTGCATATTCATAGAAGTGGAAAGTTTCTTGAAAGGTAACTTTTTTCTTAAGCATAGGCTAGTGCACACAAAGAACCAGAAGATATTAACACCTTTATTGTGAGAGATTGTTGTTTTCTAAGTCATCATAGTAACATATAGCCTTGTGGGCATCTTAAGCTAACTGATACACAGGAGGTGCTACTGTCAGATTTCTTATGATGTTAACTGTATACTCGTACTCATTATAGTTGTTAGAAATGATCTCTACTACTGCCTTCTTGTTTTAATTTGCTTATCTTATTTCCTTTTCTGCAGGTTGCTGTAGGTGATGTTATTTACATTGAAGCAAATAGTGGTGCAGTGAAAAGAGTAGGCAGATGTGATGCTTTTGCTACAGAATTTGATCTTGAAGCAGAAGAGTATGTTCCAATTCCAAAAGGGGAAGTTCATAAGAAAAAGGAAATAGTACAGGTACGTCATTAGTAAACTATTTTCTCGGCTTTTTGTAGGACATATACTTATTCAAAATAATGCATCTTGATGCATATAAGTTACGTGTGTTTCTTCTTCTTTTTTCAATTTTCTTTGGATTATTTTCTATTTGACATATTTACTTAGACTCATTATCCTATAGACTCATTTCATGCCCCCATCCTCACCATCTACCTTCATGACCTTGACATGCTCTTTGTAACACCCCAATTAGCCCTGTATTGGAAGTGAACTAAGATTAAAATTGATTTATAAGAGTCTGATGAGTATGCTACTGTTAACTTCAGCCAAAGCATTTTGGTCAATGGTTTGGGTTCAACGAAGTTAACAGGTCAACTATCTCATCAGGCCGAGTTATGATAATTGGTATCAGAGCCGACCTAGTATTGAGGTATAGTGAAGGGCCCGTGTAGGAAATGACTATCCGTGGATGAAGTCAGAAGACGTGTCACAACATGATTTGGGTTATATTGGGTTTTGACAAGGATACCATTTTGATTAGTTTCATATTGGAAGTGAGCTAAGGATAAAATCGACTTATAAGGTTCTGATAAATATACTATCGTTAACCTCAGCTTAAGTATTTTGGCCAGTGGTCTCGGTTCAACGAAGTTAATATACTAGTTATCCCATCAGGTCAAGTCATGACACTCTTATCATGAAAAACCTTATTATCTACTACCCCTTTAATTGAAAGATGAATCTTGTTTACATGGTTAATAGCCATAAGTTTAGGGGAGGATTTTAGGGGAAATATTCTAGTTAATGGCCTTGAGTTAATGGCAGGGGAAAAAAGAAAACATATAAGCAATGAAATTTATTTCCTTATTCCTATAATGGTGTTTAATTAACAACGCACAATCACGATATGGAATGCATCAAGAAATTTATAACTTTATTGAAGCCTCTTGTTATTTCATGTTAGCATCTTCTTTTTAATAAGGAAAAAACCATTTTCATGGGAAAAAATTAGAAGTAAAAACTTGGAGGTCTAACATTGATGGAATTTGCGATAATTACAATGGTTGTATGTTGCTTAGATATATTTCTGTAGATCTAAGGGACTGGTAGAGAATTGGAAAAGAGAAGATGGAAGTTGTAGTGCTTCTCCTATATTATGGGGATTATTTAAATTTATGTGGTGATTCCATGTGATGTGTCTCATGTGAAGTATGCACACATATGCAACTTATATTCTAGCTTATATTAAGAATTTATTAGGTCCAATACTTGAAACAGTTCCAACAACTGAAAACATTAAAATCATCAACAAATAGAAATATTCACTTGTGTACTGACATATATATATATATATACATACACACACACACACACACACACACATATATATATATATATATATATATATATATATATATATATATATATATATATACATACATACATATATACATACATACATATACACATATATATATATATATACACATATATATATATATACACATATATATATATATATATATACACATATATATATATATATGTCAATGTGTGTATATATACATATATGTATATGTACACACACACACACATATATATATATATTCATATATGTGTGTGTGTGTGTGACCACTACATTGTGATTTCAGTTGATTGTGTGTTGAGAAGGTTGATTACATTACATGGTTTCGGATACTGGTTGAACTAATATGTGTGGATAAATTTTTTTTTGTTTGACCAAGAACTGATACTGAGTCATATACTTCAGGTTCAGTCAATATTCGTTTTATTTCAATAATATTAGCCAATACAAGTTAGTATACCATTTGGTGTACTATTACCATGGTGGTGCTATGTTGTCAAAATTGGTACTAGAGGGTGAGACAAGTTGTCAGAATTGATATTAGAGAGTGCCACAAGTTTTCAAAATTGGTATCAAACAGTGTTTTAATAGGCACTTGGGCACTCACCTAGGCGCTTGGGCAAGGCAAGGCCCGAGTGCCTCGCACAGCTTCCGAGCAACACACTTCACTAAAGCATCACCTGGGTGCTTGCCTGATGAGCCCAGGCGCCTTTGGCGAGCACTCGAATGAATTGTGACCTGAGCTCCTGATTCAATTGAACAGGAAAGTTGGTTCAATCGAACCAAATAAACCCTAAAATTAACCCTTGCCTGACCTAGTGAACCCATAAATCCTATGTAGTCGCCTGATCCACCTCTTGTCCATTGCCCAGTGTGCCTTCATGTGCAACTACCTTTGCCGCCGTTGCTTTCGTGTATAGTTCCCTTTGCCACCGACGCCATCGTCTGAAACTCCCTCCGCTGCTGTTGCCTTTGTTCGAAGCTTCCTCAGTTGCTGCTGCCTTTGTCGGAAGCTTCCTTCGCCACTGCCCTCTCCTTCCCCACCTTCCTCCAGAGGCCAATTACTCATCACCTCTTTATAGCTGTTTAGCGTTGATCCCTATTTAGAACTGTTCTCAGTCCTCCTTTAAACTTTAAAGCTGTATGGCACTGGTTAATCCTTGTTTGAAACTGTTTAACATTGCTTAGCATCGGTTAATCTCCTCTTTTGAACTGTTTAGCACTGGTTACTAATAAAATATTTATTTTTAATATTTTAATATTCTGGGGCACCTCGCTTCGTTCGGACTTGCTCTGGCCAGCACGTAGCACCTCGAGTGTTTTGGGACCTTGAAGCCCAGCGCTTTTAAAAACACTAGTATCATATTGGTATTTAAATCTTAGTTACACAAGTGTTTTCAGTTCAGAGGATTAGGAGCACATTCATTAATAGAATATAACCTAAATGTTGGTAGTTTTAAACTTACGAGAAATTGTACCTTCCAAAGTCAGCATTATCAATTCGTAAAGGAGTTAAGATTATTATGTTCAAATGAAAATGCAACTAATGGACCTTTACTCCTATCCCAAGTTGCTTTTATACAATGTATGTTTACAAACACATAAGTTGTTTACCTCTTTAAGTTACTTTCATTGCTTAGCATTATTTTCAGGTGATATTTTTCAATTATGTTTGGAAGGTCTAGAGAAGTCTGATTTTCCACCTCTTTGATTTACTTCCATTGGTTTGCATGCTTTGTTGAAGTTGAATGTATTTCTTAATTTGCTCTTTGTATTTTCTGAGATCATGATGATTGTGTCACTTATGTACTGTATTTCTGGTCTTTGATTTGGCAAGCATGACAATTAGCAAAACATTATTCTTCTTGTCTACTAGGATGTTACACTGCATGATCTTGATGCTGCAAATGCTCGTCCTCAAGGAGGGCAAGATATATTATCCCTTATGGGCCAGATGATGAAACCTCGCAAAACAGAAATCACTGACAAACTGCGACAGGAAATTAATAAGGTTCAGCTTTTAATACCCTTAAATCGTGCGTCTCGTTTTTGTTCTTGTAGACATATACATTTGTCCTGCACGAGTGTTCATTCTTAATATGGTGGTTTGCTTAAATTATCAAGGCATGTGTTATATGAACTAAAATTTACATGTCTATTCAGGTTGTTAACAGATATATTGATGAAGGCATTGCAGAACTTGTACCTGGTGTCCTTTTTATCGATGAGGTTGCTTTCCTTCTAAATGTCAGACCTCTTGGATATGTACATGAGCTTTTTTCTTTTTTTTAATATTGCAAATCTTGTGCAGGTTCACATGCTAGATATTGAATGTTTTTCTTACTTAAATCGTGCTTTGGAGAGCTCAATATCACCAATTGTGATTTTTGCTACTAACAGGGGAATATGTAATGTGAGGTATGAGAACTTTCACTGCATAATTTGGGATCGAGATTTTTAGATTCAAAATAAAGTAAAAACAACATACTTTATTAGACTGTGGTGGTAAAATGAATCAACTACATGATAATCAGCTAATTTGAGATTGACCTGCAATGAAGTGAAACTTTTTTTTCTGAAATTGCAAACCTTGATTCTCATATTTTTTGGATTTCTATTATGTTCCTGAAATGAATACACTGCTACTTGTGCAACATTCTCTATTATCCAAATACAATACCACTATGCCACAGTGCTCAATTCTAATTTTTTATGGTGATCAGGGGAACTGATATGACCAGTCCACATGGCATACCAGTAGATTTGCTTGATCGTCTGGTTATTATAAGGACAGAAACATATGGTCCCACTGAAATGATTCAGGTTTTCATATCTACACTTCATAAATTGTCATAAATGGTCATATCATCATAGTTACATTTTCCTTTTTTTTCATATGTTTTGTTCTGGACCAGATATTGGCTATTCGAGCTCAAGTTGAAGAAATTGATATCGATGAAGATAGTCTAGCTTACTTGGGGGAGATTGGGCAACAAGCATCATTAAGGTCTGTTGTGATTATTTTCCTTCTGAACATTGAACTTATGTGCTTATGGGAATACGAGGTAGTATTTATACTTATTTGTAAATGTGATCTCGTCTAGATCCTCCATAAACATTTTGAATTTGAGGAACTTGCCGACAACACAAATTGCATTCCCTGAACGTCATGGTTATAGATCTTATTCATCCTGCATTTTAACTTTTGTTTTTCTCTTTTTGACCTCACACTTTTCATCTTCATCGAAAAAGGATGATAAAAAGTATTTGTAATGGCAACTGTGGCACTGTGTATATTGATTTTCCCATGACTGCATTGGCAGGAGCCTTATTCACCGTGTGTTTGCCCATTCTTTTCTACATATCATACTCATGAAGATGAGATATTTTGTTTTTCTAACTTTTCTGTAGTATTGCATATTATATTCTGTTTGGTTTAGCTATGATTTAAATTGAAAACTGTATCGTACATAATGTTATTTAAATTTACAACTTTCCAAAATGAACAAATTGATTAATACAAATAACTTGAACCAACCAAACAGAACAGTACTAAATTGAATGTGCCTGTTGCAGTTTGCTTTGTTCATTAGCAAACCCTTAGTACATGCTTGTTGCTTGTTGCACTACACTTGTATCCCTGTTTTTCTATGCCCATTGGCTCTCCCTCCACAACTAAAATTTTCTTTATTATTTTGGTTTACAAAACTTTTCTTACTGAAATTACATGCTTATCCAGGCATGCAATCCAGCTGCTATCACCTGCTAACATTGTGGCCAAAACTAACGGAAGGGATAAGATTTGCAAGGTACTACGACCCTATCTCTTTATACATTAGTCCATCGTTATATGGTATTTAACCTTTTGTTTAGATATCTCAAATGTGGCTTTGCTTCTATTTCACCAATTCTGGATTTTCTTGTTATAATTTACTTACAACTTTTCGCAGGCTGATCTCGAGGAAGTGACTTCTCTATATCTAGATGCCAAGTCTTCTGCGAGGCTTCTTCAGGAGCAGCAAGAAAGATACATAACCTGATCATATTTTATTTCCGTTGGACGTTATCCTCTTCCAAAAGGATAGCAGTGCCTTAGCATGTAGAATTGAAGTCACAGACGTTTGCTTTAACCGATCTGTATCTTGGTGTAGTAGTCATTTATCTGATTTAAAGCTCAAGCTTTGTCGGGATGTAATTCCAGTCTCATTGTGGCCTTTGTTCTTGATATCAGCACAGAAATTAGCAATTGGGGTTTCAAAGAAAGGCTGATAATTGAGCTGTGAAGACAGAAATTGGCTTTTTTTACTTTGTTTGTATTACTTGTGGATGGAAATTAAGCATATTCCATGCTGTCTTATTTTGACATGCATCTTCTGCTATTGGTCATCTTAAAGCAGCATAAGCAGCATAAGTATTATTCTTTCTCTTGTTTAATGCTCTATTTTTGACACTAGCAATGAAAGTTTAGTGTAATTTTCATTATCTAAATGTAAAGAAAAATTTTATAGTTATCTTTATTAGTTGACTATTCAATACGATCATATTAAAGTTCTAACAAAATTGTCCTTTCAAGGGGTCAAACAATCAATAAAAAATATTTTAGATATTCAAAATTATAACTATATATATTTTATTATATGCAAAATTTTAGTATATAGAGATTTTGGAGATACTATATCAAAGTTTGGAGGGACAGATATGTTATTGTCCAAGATTTGGGAGTATAAATCCGTGAAAATTATGGCTCCTTGTAATGCCAAACTCTCTTGCACCATAAGAGGCTGAGGCAGAAGCAAACGAGGCCAATACGTGAAAGGGAGATGCCACATCCCACTGCCGTTGCTACAGTAGAGACGTCATTATCGGCAGATGATGTCCCTCTCATTCGTGTCCTTCAGATTAGCCTTGGAACAAGTTATCATCTCTTCCTTTGCATCATTCAGAGCAAATGTAGTCACCTAATTATGATATCACAGCTTTAAACACCAATTGAGTCGGCCTATAAGTCTTAATTTTAATTTTTTGTAATAAAAGATTAATCATTATTTTATCACATCGGATCATTTAGACGGTCTTAATCGGATACATGATCGTTTATTTATATTTATTTATTTATTTATTTATATAAAAAATAATATTATAAAGGATTATGTTTGATGTATAGTCTATTAAACTATCTCATCGTCGCATTACTCGAGTTATACTTTCAATGTGGACCACTCAATATAGTTACATATATTACACGATAATAATCACATCAATTTTACTAATTTAATCTAAAAAATAGTTAAAAACTATTAATCATTTCTAAATGATTCCTTTAGAATTTTTTTTTTGTATTCATTAAATCATAAAAGTCAATAATTTCTCAATAATCCATAATCAACCATAACTTTATTTGAAATATTCTAATTGACTTAAACTAAATTAAATTTAATTATGAACTAATGGAACGAACCTTATATTTTTATAGAATTAGTCTATAATCACCCCAAGCTGATTTAAATCTTATTAATTTTAATTAGGTGAAGTAAGCTTAAACTAGTCGAGTTGATCTAGAATCGTCTTGAACCGACTTGATTCAGTCAGCTAATGAGTTCAAACTAATAAAAAAAAAGAAAAAACTAATAAAAAAAAGAGGAAATTAGATTATGATATTAGTTGAAACCGAATCAACCCACTCGAGCCTCGAACAAGTCATATATCTAGTGTCGATTAAGGATGACTCTCAGGTTTCATCGTGCTTGGTCACATAAGTTGAGCATGTTTGGAGCATTTACTTTTTATAAATTATTTTTAAAAACAAATTAATTAAATATTTAATTAATTGATAAATTTTTTAACTTATCCACCTGATTAAAAATATTAATTTTAATCATTTCCTTAATCATACGAAGGGAAAAAAAAAATAGTGATGCATACATATCAAATGTTCTCGTGGCTACACGTGACATACATAACCCCCAACACGTTTATTCCTACATCGGACATCCCGTGATTGTTTGGTAGTAGAATTTGATGAGATTATATGCATATTGGATGATCGAAGGTGATGGTAATGGAGAGTTCGATCTCACTCTTCCTTGTCGTAATCTTTGGAAGCCAACTCGGTGAGAATCTTCTGCATCCTCTGCGCAGCCTCGACCTCCATGGCCTTCTCCTCTTGCTCCTTCATGTACGCCTGGAAGAACTCCCCGTTCTCCTTCTCTAACTCCTTCCAAACTGCAACGACGCAGTCATCAACGGAGGTACCACTACTGCACGCATTCTCTCTCTCTCTCTCTCTCGTGTCACAAGATCATGATGATGTATACCTGTGGAGGTGATGACGGACTTGATGTCGGCGTGCTTGGCGAGGGCTTCCATGCACTCCTCCTTGCTCATGCGGAAGAGGAGGCATTGCTCGATCAGGTGTTGCACCTGGAAGCCATGCAGAAACAATAATGGAGAATGAGAGGACTCAGTGCGAATTAAGAGAATACTGTGACGTGCTGCTGCTCTTAGCTCACCGTTCTGATGTAGGAAGCCGACGACGAAGATTCGCCCATGGTGATGGTGGAGGAAAACCCTAACTCCGTGGTGAGGAGAGAGAGGCGAGAGAGGAGGGCAACAAATAGACTGCGGGGGAGGAGGTAGAGTAAGAAGGGGAGACGTGGGCCGGCGATCACGTGGGCGGCGGAAGGTAATTGGCGGGTATGAGATGAGAAGCCACGTGTGTCTCCCCCAAATGAGCGACGGTATTCCCGTGTTAGATTCTTCCTGTCATCAGAGTGAGCCACGTCAATATATGACAGTTTACTTCCAATAGGAATATTGATATGTATTTTTCTTTGACTGTATTTGTTCTTGATCAAAATTGTTTAAATCTAATCAAATTTAATGTAGTGAAAGTACTATACGCCGTATTATAAAATTTTCCAACATCAATGGTAAGATTTTAGGAGCAATTCAAAATACAAACTTTGTTCCATGCTATAGCCTACATACATGATGTTCTTTCTATTTAAGTCAATAACCCTTTTAGGAAATATTTCTTAAACAGTCTATAGGGAATCTTTCATAACTTTTTTAGGAAAAGGTTTTGCACATACCTTGTCAAAATTGTCCATTTCAACATAACTGTTGATCACGATCGCTCGTCTGTCTAAAACAAAAGAATTAACATCATAAAATTGATTTGGTCAGAACAGACAGATGATGTTATGAAAGAGAATAGCGGGATAGACAACTCCATGACTCCCAACTTTCAAGAGAGACAGCGTAGGATTTACATTGGATCAAACCATTACTGTGCCTGTCCACGTCTCCTCTCTTTGGGTTCTTTGTTTTGTTGCAGTGAGGTTGCTGTTGATGCTTGGGCTCCCATTTGAGACAATGGGCAAGGGCCAAGAATGGCCACATGCTTTTGTTCCCATGCAACCTACAAGTTACAAAAGAGACTTCTCACACAAAGGCTCTCTTCCTCTTCTCCCTGGCTCGTTGGACAATGATTTGATCTAATTGTCCAACAACAATGGCCTGAAGGTGCAAAGAATCTTGTTGCTGTGGCAGCTCACACCTTCCTCTACCCTCGCTGATGCTTTGCATGATCCAATGATCCAAGGATTAGCAAATGCCATTGTAGACCATGTTTCATGTGATGAAGACAACGGTTGGGAACCAGGAGTTCTGAGAAGACAGGAGATACGGGCATTTCAAGTCTTTGTTTTCCTCCAAAATGTTGAGCTGCTACAATACTGTTGATTATTGTGATTTGCAATGGAGGACTCAGGGTTTCGTTATATCATGGACTGCACCCTGCAAGCTACATCATGGAGATGCCCTGGGTTTGGGTGGGCTTCACCTATACAAAAGACAAAGGACAGAAGAAGAAAAGGACTGCACTCCCAAACAAAAGGAATGGAATAGGCTAGAACACATCCTGTAAGATATTTCCATTACCATTATGGAGTTCATCTGTGCCTCTTTTTGCTTCACCACCCTTGTCCTATCTGAAGTTGGTCACGACCAGCTTCAATTGTCGATCACAAATTTTGCTGTACGACCAGAAGCCTGCAGACACAGCAAGATGGAACTCAAACAAGATTGAGGAGAAGAGATAAGCATAACAATCTACCACAATAGTCCAATGGCTGAACAAGATATATCAGGTACACAGAAAGAGAGGATATGCAGATGAACAAAAATTGGTACTCATATGTCCATCAGTGATGCAATGTGGTGGGATGGACGCCAGATACTGTCAGGCCTATGAACGTACACTCATCAGGCATGACTAATTCACCGAATGATATTGGTCAGAAACATTGATCTAGGATAGTGGAATTAACCAAGAATAGTAGAATGGACTGCATTTGATCTAGGAATTAAATGCATCTGAAGCAGAATGCTTATACATAAATATACCGAAACTTAAATGTTTACCTAAGCATGCTCATGGAGATCAAATCAATGGAGAGGAACTAGGCACCTAAAACTCTTTGTGCTTCGATCAAGATTATGAAGTAAAAATGACTGGCAAAAGTAAATAAGTAGTCTCACAACCAAAAAGAAATTTGAGGTAGTCACATGTCAGTCACCAAAATGAATTGCTAGCTCTTATGTCGTACAAGAATGCAGTGTCAATCCAACAAAAATTTTCATGACACTGTCATTGCAATAATTTTTTTCATAACATCTTGATAGTAATACCAGGACAATCAAGTTAATGTTCACACTAACAGGCCTCTATAATCCATTATGAAAGAATTTTGTGTACCAACATACATGGAGAAATTAGTGACTAGGAGCTATGTTACAAGTGTCACTACTGAAGGCAAAAAAAGTAATAGATATTTACTATGATCGTGTGCTTTAGTATGGAAACATTACAAACATTGCTCCCTTGATCACGAGAAAGCGATAGCCGCACATGTGGAATGTTCTTCCAGCTCTCCCCCAAAGCAGGCTTCAAACTTCCTCCCTCTCCTCCGACCATATGATTTGTTACCTTATCAGCATTAAGTAACAAAGAGTTATAATCTTTTCGGCTAGCTCATGGCTGTCACAAAGGTACAAGCTGCAAGACATGCTTACACACTAACAGTGGATATTAGCATTTCTCCGTGTTAAACATGGGACTACTTTTAGTTGCAATGGAAAAAACCAAATTCTTGCCTGATATGGTCAGTTTAAATACCAGAAAGAATTAAAAACAGCTTTCCTTGGCTAACCTAATAAACCTGATTTATAGTTCAATGAAAAAATACAACTATATATTTAATTTTTAGCAAAAAGATAAGTTTAACTTTTTTGCTTCAACAGGAAAATAACTTTGCCATGCTCAAATGTTCAGCTTTCATCAAAGCCTGTTGACATCTAATGTATCAGTAATCTTCAGCAAATATCAAGAATGAAAATTTCAACTGGTGAACCTAAAGTGCAATAGGCTTTGTGTGCATTTCATCACAGAAACATGATACAATAATTATGCAGCCAAGCACAAAATATGCAACACCAGACATTATTGTACTTACCAAAACTGACAGGTTGTATTCATTTGCTATTTTCTTCAACAGAATTCCAGTTGTGATCATCATCAGCCGTCCTGCATTTTTATCAGACTAAAGCTTGGAGGAACTCAAAACAATGGAACATGTGTGCTAAAACTCAGAAAACAAAACCTGTTTGCAAGCATACACAGTTATGAGAACTGGTGATATACAATATTCCTATTGGGTTACTCAGCCACATCAATGATATAAAAATCATGGGGCATGTTGATCTCATGTAAAGCAACAATATGTACAAGCACTTTAGTGGATCTCATGTAAAGCTACCCAAGTAAGCAGTTGCGTAGAATAGAACTTAAGTCAAATTAATCATGGGGCATGTTGGGAATACAAACTAAGAGTATATGAGGTGCATACCTTGTGAATTTTTGCCTCCAAGGATGGGTGTTATGAGGGATGATATTGAATCAACGATTAGTAACCGTATCCTGTTGCCACTACTTTTTACCTGAACCATTGATAGAAGTGCTCAATGCACTTAAATTCAACTAACATAGTACGATTCACAGTATCTGTGGGACAAAAAGAACCTGATGCTTCAATTTGCATTCAAGTTGATGTAGAACGTCTAACAACTCAAAGATGTCAAATAAGGAGTGGCATAGTATGCTGCTCATAATCCTCTTGAGCCTACCTTCTTTTCCCTACAATGAAAAATTCACAATCAAGAATGACCCATAAAAAAACATGTAATTTGCAATTTCCATAATAACAAGAATGTTCCTGATTATCAATTATAAAATTTACACTTATAGGACTACTGGTAATTCACAATGTTCATACTAAGGCAACAGAGGAGACATTAAGCAAAAAATAAAAGACAAAAAGAATAGGATTTCACCTCTTTAACCAAAGTGTCAGACTGCGAATTAACCATGTGTGCAATGCGGTGTGGGGAAAAAGAGTTACAAGTATCCAAGAACAAAACAACACCCAAATGCACGTCTGCAACACCCAATGCAGAGTGCAGACAAACCTGCACAACATGTTTGCTGAATAAGATGGCTAAGAACTTATGATTGCACTGGAACTTCCAATAATCAGGAGTAAAAAATCTAACATCTATGGTGTAAATGAAGGGGAGAATTTCCAACAGACTGATTTTACATACTTGAAGATTTAATGGAGTCAAACAACTTTCTTACTTGTGTTTTACCAGAAGAGGATGGCCCCACAATTTCCGTTAACTGACCTTCCCGCAAACCTCCTCCAAGAAGGATGTCAATCCTGATCATTCATTAAGCCATAAAAAACATCATACTGTTGGAAAAAGAAAAGCATCTAGAGAAACACAAGACAATAAACTATACTAGTTAAATTTAAGATACCCTTTACATCCAGTTGGAAGAACATGCTTATTCCATTTAGCATCCTCAAGCAGCTCCACACCATTCAACCACGATGGTTGTCGTCCGTCTATCACCACCGAAACTTCTTCCATCCCCTGTTTTCGTCCTATTAGTTTAACATATTGTGACGGAGTAGTGCAAAAAGAGAAAATCAATTTGAACTAATTCACAAATCCAAAGAAAGAGGATAAAAATCTTAAGTAAAAGGATAAGTAATTACAAATCCTTTTAGATTCTAATGAAAACATAAAAAGGCATCAATTTTCAGATGTCAATCACAACAGAAATGGGTCTATAAGAAATTAACAGAACACCTAATTAGCATCCACGTACCAAGATGACTCTCAGCTTCGACTACTGGAAGAAAAATACCAAGTTTCTTTGATTCCAACAGATTACTAAAGATGAAGTTAAAGAAAAGGGACAATGGGCATTCTATCATCTCCAATTTCAATAAAATCAGCATAATAAGCTACATCAACAATTGACCTCCCATTCACAAGGAACATCACTGGTGGAAGAACCTTACCACATCCTCCTCCCCTAACTCTTTGGTTATGGGGGACTTGGCATGAATCGCAGAGCGAGGGTTTCGGGGTGGGGGCATCGGGACCTGAGATGCTACGGCAGATTTGTGGGGGGTTCCGCCATCAATCAATCTTTCGAGCTCTCCCGCTACGCGCCCCCTCTCTTCCATTTGGTATCGTGCAGGGTTTAGTCACACATTGCCACATGTGCGAAAGCGCGTGTTTTCACTACTCGCCTCTTGTGCCGTGCGGACTTACCCACACACGAACTTGGATCTTGATAATCATATGAATGCACAACTATCAAAGCGAAATGGACGCAGATCACGTGGTTTCGGGGCAACGGGATTGAACCTTAGCTAAAGAAAACCGACGTCACACGTGCCCTCCGTGGCCACTCGCCGGAAGCATCAAGTCACGTGGCGAGCACGTGTACTGTGGAACCTCCCTCCCTCGTCTCCCACCCATATAAGCAATTCTGTCCTCAAAACCCTAACCCGTCGCCGGACCAATCACTCGCGGTCCCACCTGACCGATCGATAGAATCCTAATGGCTTCCAATTCTAACAAGACCGCCGCGTCCTCTGCCTTTTCCAGCGCCGGTGCCTCTTCATACGACCGGCTCCTCCTTCAAACCCTCATGAGCCGCCTTCAGCTCCGCCCACCGTACCTCGACACCAACTCCTTCCTCTCTCACAGCCTCGACGACTTCCTCCTGGGTGACCGCGGCTCCGACGCGGATGGCTCCGATGGCGACGACGAGGGGGATGACGAGGACAGCGGCGAAGGGTCGAAGAACCGCCGGCTCCTCGCCAAGGAGGAGGCCAAATTAGAGAAGGAGATCATGCGGATCGTCCGCTCCGGCAACGCCGTCGAGGCCCTCAAGGCCAATTCTGGCCAGTCGGTGGCCATCGGTGACCACAACATCTGTGTCGCCGTCCACGAGGAGCCCGGGTCCGAGTACCGGGTGTGGGAGTGGCACGGACACATCATGCTCTTCGATGAGGAGAACGGGTACACGGCCGAGTACATCTACGGGAATTACTTCGAGAGACTGCCGGAGAAGAAGGGTAGGAAACAGGCCGATGATGACGATGAGGAGGAAATTGAGGATGGTCAGGACAAGAGCAAGCTCAAGGCAGGTGGAAGCTTGGGGCTTAGGGATTTGATCCAGGACTTGAAGGACTCGATCAATAATGGGGCGGGGAGGGTTCTTCACAGGAACTCCTTGAAAGATGGATCAGTGGCAAGGTAATGGTTTGTAGATAAGATCAAAGATCTATATGATTAGTTTAGCTGTCGCAGCAATCCAAACAGACTTATTCTATATCTTGTTTGCCTCTGGTCTTCAAATAACACGATTTGGCTTAGAATATGCTCCATGGTTTTGATGCAAAATATTCTTCTTTTGTGTGTGAATTTTATGTTCTTCTAGTTTTTGATGCGTTATGTCTGCAAAATTGTGGTTAACTGATGAATCTGGAGTGGATAAGTTGGTTCTAGTTTGCTTAATTGTTGTGTTCTGCAGTCCACCTTGTGCAAGTAAAGGTTGCATTGCTGCATGAACATTGTAATTCTAGTTTTCTTGATGGTAATAGTACTCTTGTTGATTCCTTATGAATATGTGAATTTTATGTTCTAGTTTTTGATGCATTATGTCTGCAAAATTGTGGTTAACTGATGAATCTGGAGTGGATAAGTTGGTTCTAGTTTACTTAATTGTTGTGTTCTGTAGTCCACCTTGTGCAAACAAAGGTTGCATTGCTGCATGAACTTTGTAATTCTATTTTTACTGATGGTAATAGTACTCTTGTTGATTTCTTATCATAGTTAGAATATATGAACTTTCTTTTTAGGCTTTTTATGGGATGGTAAACCTAATTAGAAGTCATTTAGCACACCTGTAAGGCACTTCCAACTTCCTAGCTTAGCACCATAAATACTCAGACCTGGTTTGAGTGATGTTGACACCTAAAGAACAGACATGAGTAGAAATAAGAAAAAAAATACAGTTTAAGAGAAATAAATGATTCATTGGTCTGATCAAGCAATAGTATCGGTATAGTATGGTTTTAAAAGAAGTAGCAATATCAACTCTAAAACAACAGTGAAGGTGTGTGTTGAATCAAGGATAGGCAATTAGTGTTTTTGTTTTGCTCATTTTGTTCTATACATGCTTATGAAAGGTCAACCTGATACCATAGGTAATTGCTATTCAAAGGAACATGTATCAGGTGTGCAAAATCTGAGAAAGTGATGCATGAATATTCATTGAAGAACAGGTACATGAAATCTGACTAAGATTGGAAGAAATTGTAATACACTTGTCCAGCATAGCACCATAATTACTCAGGAACTGGTTCAAATGAACTTTTTTTCTCATTGATGTTGTTCTGATTAGCATATCAAGAACTGTGATGTTTGGATGACAAGGCATTGCACTTGGTGATAAGGTCATGGGAAATACTTCAATAGGTTATGAACAAGCAGAGAAGGATTGATTAGAAGGTCAGTATTTTCCTCACAGATACATCAAGATATCAATCCAGTGGATTCACTTGCTGTGGATGGTTTATGATTGCTTGCTTGAGGAAAACATGATTCTGTGCTCCACCTTTCATGGACTAATCATATATAAGTTGTAAGTGTAGCTGAAGATGTTGCCTTTGAAGGTTTCCTGGTCAATGTAAATGGTGATCTATGAGATAATTGATTGCCATGAAAGAGCATAGAACATCAAATTTTGCGTTGCACAGTAATTGTCAAATGGTTCCATGTAGAAAGATCAAAACAAAGTTTTTTTCCCCAGTAAACAACAAAATCAAAAATCTTTTACAATGAATGATCCCCTAAAGATTGAAGATTGTGGTACAACAATGCTGGAACCTCCTAACAACTATGCAATTAAATTGTGGTATGTACTTAGTGCTCGACTCATAAAAGAGAAATTAACGTAATATCCAATAGGCAAAAGTCCCGTATGTTACATTTACTAATCCTGTGTTAAGAGAAAGCGGAAATATAATGAATGTTTTAATCTTGGGTCAATTTTTAGTTTAATATTAGTAAATATTCCGAAAAGGTTAGATTAGAGGACAGAGCAGTCTCCTCGTAACACAAGTCGGTCCAAAGCAACGATTAGATGTTGACAAAAAAGAAAATAGCGTCGCCCGGACTCGAACCGGAGACCTTCAGTGTGTTAGACTGACGTGATAACCAACTACACCACGACACCTAATTATTATTGATTGTTTAGAGGACAAAATAGTCTTTTCGTAACACAAGTCAGTCCAAAGCAACGATTAGATGTTGACAAAAAAGAAAATGGCGTCGCCCGGACTCGAACCGGAGACCTTCAGTGTGTTAGACTGACGTGATAACCAACTACACCACGATACCTCTTTTCTATTTGTTGTTTAGAGACAAAATAGTCTATTTATAACATAACTCATCCAAAAAGAGAATGGCGTCGCCCGGACTCGAACCGGAGACCTTCAGTGTGTTAGACTGACGTGATAACCAACTACACCACGACACCTCCTTGTTATTTATTATTTATAAGATTTGGTGAATTAGACAGATTGAACTCGAACCAGACGGGCACTTGCCAACCAGGTAAGTGGGTCGTCGACTCGATGGCCACAGCCGGAAGGCATTCAAGAAACGGTGGTAGAACTCGCCAGAACAAGAAAGATCCGGCAGCCGGCACTTCGTGCGAGTGCGATTATGGCCGCACCCCCGCCTTCACCCCCATCGGCGACGTCACCAAGAACCAGGTTGCCATGACCAATTTGGTGAGCCTCTTTCATCGGTTTTTCTTCTTCCTAGAAAGTAGAAACGCATGAATCCGATGTTGTTGTGGCAGAATTTGTTAGAAAGGTTTGATCTTGCAGGACACTGGCTTTATCTTGTTCTTGGAAGTATAAAAGAGTCTCCATCATGTTCTCACTCAAGATTTCTGGTTTGAGTTTAGGTCCCCATGTCGATTTTGCCGGTCAGATACTTCTTTGCACGCAACCAAAACTAACTTTTTAACATACGGTCACACTAAAACTAACAATAAACAATTTCAAACAATTCAAGAAATCAATCTGTCTGAATTGGGAACTAGTTAAATTAAATTAACAATTGGTCCCTGAAAGATAAGATCAATTTGACAAAGTGACAAAAAGGTATGGTCTGTCTATCCATCCTCCAGCATCTCTCTATGGACATGCATGCAAGAGGTGCTGCAGTACTTGTAATCATACCTGTGGAAAGGGACTTTGCCTTCCAAGGAGGCACTGCAGCAGGAGCAAATGGCATCGCCGGCTCCGCTCTTAGGCGCTGAGCTGCTCGATGGTGCTACCGTGGTGCTCGTTAGTCGAGCATTTAGAGCTGCTATTCTCCTCTCTGCTGCGGCTGCTCTCTTTTCTCTTTCTGCTGCCAGTGCCCTTCTCTGTTCCTCCTGATCACGGACACGTTCGCCAGTTAGACAACCTGTGAGCATCGAAGATGATTGTTCTAAAGATGAGAATTTTTCCTTGTCTGACCTCTTTAGACAAAACAGGCTGATTGCTTTGTGACTGCTGTATATGAGCCGAGGCAGTTGCTCCTTGATTATGTGAAACAGCAGCCGAAGCATTTTCGGAAATGGCAGCTTGGGCCTGGAGTTGTCAGCAGAAAGCAAACATCCAAACAAACACCCATCAGTTTTTTATCCTATCGAGGTCAAAAGATTCAATTAATAATTTTTGTTTGGTCTACATTGTCATTCTGATTTGGCAAAACAATCATTCGCAATGGTCAAGCCTACATTAAAATCTAACAAGGAGAACGACGAACAAGACAAAAAAATGAATTTACTGACTACCGAATGCAATGGTAACACAAATCACACTGTAGTAAGGAAAGGTAAAAGCAGTATTAGTAACACAAATCACACTGTAGTAAAGATTTGAATGACTGCCGAATGCAATAGAAGCATACCTTTGCCTTTTCTTTCGCTTTCCGCAACTTCTTCAACTCTTTAGCCTTTGCCTTCCTCTTGGCATCCTTCTCAGCCTATGTAACCATCCCACAGAAATTAACAAATCCTAAGGTCTATAAAGCAAAATGTTCCTCCAGAAGTTTTAAGCAACAAGCATGAACAAAAACTTAATCCATGTAAATTTTTTAACATCAAAAAAATAACCAGTCAGCATCCCAGAAAGCATATGCATTAAGTTCACTGATACCGATGCTAAATGAATTTAAGTTACTAGAGCAGAAGAATTATTAATCAATCAATCTGTTTACATAAATGGAATTCAGGGGTGACAACAGGAATTGAAGAATAAGGAAAAGATTCATCACTAACTGGTTTTCCAGGAACACTGTTTTATTAGACAATAATGCAGTAGAAACATTGCATTAATAGAAAACACAGATCAGGTACCTGTTTTGCTGCCTGCGCCTCTTCGATTTCCTTTGTCAATGGACTTGGTACATTGGCGGCATGCCAGTCCCACTTATCAGGATTTATCGCCATAAATCTTCTAAAAATGTTTCTGACTTCCTTCTCTGATGCTAACACGTATGGAGTCCGACCTCTACCATCTTTAATACAGGGATTTAGACCTTGTTCAAGAAGCTCAAGAGTTCGTTCAGCATCACCGCACTTTGCTGCTTCATGCAGAGGTGTTGTTTCATCCCTATAAGATGATGCATTAACTGCCTCAACTGCAATTGCCAAACCTTGTATTACCCCTGAACCTGATCCAGAAGAGGATTTCTTGATCTCCAAGTGCCCACTGGAATTGGAATCATTGGATTGAGGAATGCTATTTCCTTCACAAGATACACGAGAAGATGTGTCTTCCTCTGGGATGTGATTCTCATCTACCTCATAGGCCAGGCTTGTCAATTGCTGATATATACGTACAGCTTCCTTGAATGTTGGCCTACGGACAGTCGAAGGAACATGTCTAATTTTATGATCTTGAGAACTCAACTGAGGCTTTTCCCCATCAAAAAACATCTGACGACTCCTGGATGGAGCATGAATAAATATACATGAGGAAGAATCGATGAACGATTTCCAAGAGACAAGCAATTCTTGAATTTCCTGTGTCAAAGAAATTTACAAATCAATTTATAGGACATGGATAAGAGTAACCAAGAAGTATTGTATGTTTTATTAACCGGAAGTGTTCACAATGTGGTGATGCTAAATAGTAGATCTAAGAAAAAGGCTGTCAAATTAATAGATCATGTTCAATTGAAGAGTAAACATACACTGCATGAGAAAAGAACGAAAAATTATTCATTCTTAGTTCCAAACAGACATTGAAGTTTCCTGACAACAGCGGTAATGCTCCACATATGCTTTATGCATTAGTGACGAAAGATCTCTAGAAAACTCGTTATTTAGTACCTTTTTCAGTGCAGCTTCATTATATCTGCGAAGAGATGAACCAGCTGAATTTGCAGCTTTCCCGGTTGCATCTTTGGCAGATTGCCTCTTGCCAGCCTTTGCTCTAACGACATACCTACAAATGGACATTAGGAAGTTAATCACAGCTTAAAGCAATCAAGTTAAATGCAATATAATTGAGGAAAAAAAAGAGAAAAGAAATTATACTGCAGTGGGCTTAAATCAGGTCTCCCGAGTTAAAATGGAAACTGATATATCATTTTTGCCAAGCAAATGTTTGGATTAAGTTAGCCTTGTCCTCTCATGTCCAGCACAAATATACAAGAAAAAAGAAATTATTAATATGTCGTAGATAATCAAACTGTTCAGTAATCTGTATTAAAAAAATTATATATTTAGATTATCAATATGTTTAGATTATTCTGTTTGAAAGAGAGTTATATGATAATCAGCAAGCTAGGATAATAATTTTATATTAAAAAGAACGCTACACAAGAATGAGAGTGCAGAAAGAATAGATTGTACTGACCTGTGAAATGTCTTGTGAGCTATGACAAAGTTCCCATCAAAAACACAGCCAGCAAAATGACCACCACTTGCAAGCAAAACAATCCTTAGATGTGACCTATCTCGAGGTTCACAAACCAAAGTTTTCAATCTGTTAATCAACTCTGTCTCTTCTAAGTATGTATCTCCACTTACCATATGGTTTGACTTGCTGTTCTCAAAAGATATATCTTCAGTTTCATCCATGAGCAAGCATCTCCATACTGAAACTATATCACCTGACTGAAGATAGAAACATGGCTTTTGTTTATCACGTTCTTTTCCTTTGCTCGAGAGGCAGCTCTGATGGATAGGATCATTCTCAAACTCATCTTCTGAACCAGAGATACTAGATACATCAAAGTCCTCATATACAGGATCACCACCCAAGTTGTCAAAGTCGTCTTCCTTGATAATATTCTTGCCAGCAATGCTCAGCTTGACCTAAACATGGAGTTATATTAGACAATTCATGAATATCCAAACTGGCCAGGAGATAAGTTATTAGGCCACTATCTAGATGCCCTTTGGTAATTGAAAAGGAATTTAACTCTAGGAAAAAAAAACCTGCATACAGAAGAACTGGAGAAATATATTCAACATGATGAAAATGATGAGGGTTAGCATGAGGCCCCTGCTGATCAGCCAATAGCTACTTGCCATATAGCCTAATGACACATAAATTAATTAGAGTGCTCCTCCACCATGCCGCTTGTAACTATCACTTTCCTTGCAGCCAGTTTGACAGGGCCTAAACCTGCTCCATACCAACGTGTGTTTGTAATCACCACCATTTCTGCAACCAGACTAGGAAGGAAGCTTCCATTCCTCCTTGTTGTTGGACCTTGTCCATCTTTATGGAGGGAGGCAACTAAATTTTCTAATCCCTAGACTACTACTCTCTACCTCTAATATTAATGAGCACTAGAGAAAGACTCCATCGGACACACTCCCTGTGCACCTCTTTTTATATTTTCACAAGATAAGCTCAGTGTATGATACACACATCAGACTCCTCTCTTCCAATGTGTTGTTTCTAAGTTCAAATTGAGGTCAATCTCAACTCCATTCATCAGGATGTTCAAGAAGTGTCCATCGGAAATAAATGTTTAAGGCAAGGTTCATAATTTCGGTCCGTATCGACGTACCAAGCGGTACGCCTAAAATAGCTGAAAACACTAGTACATATTGTATTGGTGTTTTCAGCTATTTTATCTAAAATAGCTAAAAGGTCGGTAAGGTAGAAATCAACCATTACTTTCCAGTACAGGTCAGTAATAGTTGAAATCGACTGGTACTGCTCGGTACAGGTTAGTAACGATCGAAATTTCGATCGTTACCGCACGATACGGAGCCAAAAATTTGGTATCGCTCGGTAGTAGGCAGTCCGCGTATCGAGAGGCTCTCGGACCGATACGCACCATCCGTACTGGGCGGTACACATCGAAATTAAAAACCATGGTTTAAGGTCATCTTAACGTCAACAAAGTTTATTGGAACAGAAAAATGAGCTAATAGAACTATATTCCCATTTCCATGATAGAAAATTTAAATTTGATGAGAAGTCATGGAATTTCCATGATCCTCTAAACACTAAGATTTGGCAAGTAGCCTTTTGAAGTAGTAGTCAACAGATCTTTGTCCTAAATTAGCAATCACATGATAAACCCATGCTATCGAAGATCAATATCCAAAAAATTCCCTCAAATTAAACGAAAAGATGGCCTAAGTAACCTAAATTTCTTGAACTCCTAAATGTTCAGACTTCAGAGAATAATAAGTTCTTAACTGTGATCAGAAGTCATAATTCCACCAAATATTTTTTTAAACTAAAATAACATTTTTTATTAAATCCTGTTAAAAAAAGCAAACCACCAGAAACATATCTCATGATATGCCCAAGATCCTGCATTGGAATGACACTGGGTGCCAAGCTCTTCAGAAAGTTGTTTGAGTTTCAAAAGTCCATTCTATGATATATAAATAACAACGTCTGTTAAAATATTCTATGCCTCATCAAATATCTTCTTATATAATTCTATCGATAGTTACAGAAGAAAAAAAAAAAAAAAAAACACACACACACACACTTACGACTAAAGATTTAGGGTTTTATGATGATTTAAGGTTTTCTTCAGTGTACGATTAAAGATTTTCTTCTTGTTCTACACCTTTTTTATTAATACTATTCAGATGCAAGAACCACAAAGAGAAAGAATCTCGACCAATCCATGAGCCGCTCGCGTGTGAACTACATAACCTACAACAAGCAGAAAAAAATCCCTATTTTCCTTTGAACACCGAACCATAAGTATCATATCTACGCTTACGATAAGAAGGGAAATTAGGTATCAAAGAACAAAGAAGACCGAACGAATTTGGAGTCAACATCAAGAGGGAGAGGGTTGTGCTAACGTTCAGGCGGTGGAGGTCGGATTTGAAGTGGGAGCGCTGGTCCTGGAGAGAATCGAACTCTGCCTTGCAGGTGTTGCACGTCCACCTAGACGACGAGGCGGCAGCCTCCTTCCCCATCTCCCCAGCACGAACCGACTCGACCTCCACATCCACTCTCTCGCCGACGCTCCCGGCAACCCCGGTCTCGGCCGTCACCGGAGAAGGGTCCGGGATCCGTCGAAGGGTTTCGGATTGGAGGGAGCGGAGAAGGCGGCACGAATCGAAGAAGCCAGGCGGGAGATCGAAGACGGAGCGGGGCTTCCGCTCCGCGAGGCTCTTCTCCTCCGTCGCCGCCATGGGCGAAGCCAATCGAATGGTGTCTCTCCTCTTAGTATTACTCTCCTTCTGATATGAATAAATAATATAAATCTAATATTTGAAGTTGATATGTAAAATTTAGGAAAATATTCCTTTTTTTTTTCTTTGCAAAGATGATATCCCTTTTCATAATTCTCAAATAGTTACCCTTATTTCAAAAAAAATTAAAATATCCTCCAACTGAGAGAAAAGGTAAAATCTAATAGAAATATTTCAAAAATAATTATAAAATATTCATCACGACTAATGTATTATAAAAGGTCACCTTAAATACGATAGTCGAAGTCAATTATTATTTATTAAATTTATTATGCTTGTCCATGGTTTTAGATATGATAATCGAGATCAATTATTAACAAAAATAACAATGGAGATTGAAATTTAAGTAAAGCCATCTTATTTATGGATAAAAATTTTTAATTAAGACATCAAATTGATGGTCATCAGGCTTAGTCTGATGATATGTATCGACCGAGCCATCAACCAGGGAAACACTGCAAGAGGAGAGCAGAGAAGAGAGGTGGTGAGATGATGATGGAGGAGAGAGAGGGAAACACTGAAAATGGAGTATGTTAGCAGCCACTTGAGTTTTGAGGAATGGAGAATATATCTCACTCTACTACTTTTCATGATCTTACACATCAATCAGTTGTTCATATCTCTTGTATTACATAAGACAGACAGAAAGCTGGAACAAAAATCTTTTGGAAGATGTTCCTTAATCATAGATCATATAGCATTTGATCAAATGAGAGGTAGGTTATACTACTATCAATCTTGGGACACAAGTTTTATACTACTCCAAGGGGAGATTGTCTCAAATACCTATCAATCAGTGGCAGAATAAGCATCAGAATCAGAAGAGAGGCCGATCGAGCAATTTGTTCAGCAGAATAAACCCTACTTAGCTACCGAAATCCAAGTTGTTCAAATGAGCCACAGCTAGAAAGTAGAGGACTGAAGCAATTTGTAATTGTACTAAATAAAGCTACAGACATTGTTCCCAAAGATTGCAGACAGTGGTAATGCAGCAAGCACAACATAATGACACAAAGACATATATCACATACAAACCATATCAGATTAGGGCTCACCCTCCCATCTGATCATGTTTCACAGAAAACCTAAACTTTGTTCTCATTTAATTCATGACCCATATACAACTAAGAGAAGAACAACGATAACCTTGTGCACCAGACTATCTAACGACGACAGCTCTCGCATGCGTTTGCTTAAGAACCAAAAACTTCTTCACTGCATACTGGACATGCCTGATACAGAAGGAAACAATGAATATTACTACTCACTTCTTATGTTGGATAGAAATCCTAACCATATATTTTGTATTTGGAACTTCGATCAGTAAAAGAAATGTGTATCGACAGCATATGAAAAAAATTGCAATACTTGAAAAATCAGAAACTGCATCGCAAGTCTAGGGCAACATGGGGTTTATGCATGATTGAGCTCTTCATCTGTATCTCTAGTTCTTTTTGGAGCTCAAGATCCAGTTTCTCATGTAAGCGACAGAAAATAGAACTTCGCAATAGTGCCGAATTATCCACTTTCGACAAGATAAAAATATCTTCAATGTGTTCTAAAAAAGGCGTCCATGCTAGTCGAGAATTAAAAACCAGCACATTTTGGTGCATGGTGCTTCTGGCCAAGAATTCTACAAGAAGTTCGTTGGTTAGTGTTGGTCCTTGATAGCCAGAAGCTACATGTGGAAGATCACTGGCATTTAACAGCTATCGTAGTGTACAGGTCATACAAGCAGCTTTCCTATCTATCGAGAGAACAGGAGAAACCTATCTTTCTCGACAACTTAATATATTTGCTCTTCTTTGGTGGTTGCATATTTCTTTCTAAAATTTGCAGCACAGTGGCTGCTTTCCAAAGTTTAAAATATTGTTGCCACTCTAATTCCAATATTAAGTTTGCGCTGAAAGGAGTGTCCAGGTAGCAAACATGATCTCCTTACACTCCAGAAGAAGTAATGATAAGAACAGACACTAAAACATGGGCAAAATTAAGATCATAAACTTGGTAGTGACAAGAAAATATACCTTATTGATCTTTAACCATTTAGTGATACAGACTTTATGGTATTGATGCTGGCAGGGTAACTTAATCAACTTATCTCGGTTTTTGTAAGCCATGCAACATATCACACATCTGCATGCAGCAAATATCATTAATATCATTCAGAAAAAATCTAAATATCAGCAACCAGAGCTCAATAAGGAAGAATAAATATAAAGTTGGGTCATTCTCAAGTAGAAAACAGTTGTGTTTTTCACTACTAATAAGTCTTTCACCAATGTGAAGGTCCAGAATGTTCGTCTGATATGTGCTTTGGTCGGCCTTACATTTAAAAGGGTCACATTTTTCATTACAATGTATTCAAGAACAAAAGATAATGCAAAATATAAATAAAACAATCTGGAGTTATGACTTGCTCTAATGACAAAAGAAGCATTACCTCTACCAGTCTGTTAAAATTTCTTGAAAAACAATACATGTACAACATTTTCAGCACTAACAAGATCACACTGCTCGATATATGTTTTTTTTGCTCTGTTGCTAAAAAATGTTATCTTACATATATACAAGTTAGAAGAAACCTAAAGTACTGGCTTGGCTAACACCTTGAAACAAACGTGAAACTTCATATAATTCTGTCAAATGTTCAGACAACATTTACCTACTATGATCTACTGAATGTTAAGAATCTCGGTGACAAGCATAATGTTGTAGACAATAATCATATAATTGAGATTAATACATACTTCTCAGATTTGTCTTTTCTTGAAAATAACCCTGTTTTGTATGTTGAGGATTGCAAGAGGGAAATCAGCTCATCTGACAATCCTCTGCTTTCAGCACCTATGGTTTCACCCAATTGCTGCAACTCCTAAAATTGCACAAAGAAAATTTCAGTTTCGACGAAAAAACATATAACTACAGAACAGAGGCATAACCAGTCAGCAACAAAATTAAATGCAAAGTATACAAGATTCAATACCATTTCTCACAAAAGAAAGCAATGCAAATAATTCAGCCTCTAGCATGATGCATATCTGATAAATAAATAAATAATTGTACAAGAAATCTCAAATTCTAGATCAAAACATAATAAGCCCATCCTTTGAACAATTTATGACAGAATATAAAAAAAAGATTGATTGAAGCATAATCTATGATCAAAACATAGTCTACAACATTTCCAAAGAAGTTCATCAGGTGGTAGTCTACAACATTTCCAAAGAAGTTCATCAGGTGGCACATTTCGGACTCGCAAAGACAATAGCAAGAGAATCTGGAAGGAAGCTTGTAATATAGATGTGATCAGAAAGAAGCATGTCAACACCACCATATCATTACAAGACAAATTTACAAGCATTAGTTGCCGATGTGACAAAAATTTTACAACTAACTTGGAGACAAGAAGCCAAGGAGATGGCTAACAGCAAAAGAGAGTAAGAGTTATAACTATCCACTTCCTCTCACAGGAGTTAGTAGTATCTAACTAGCAGCAATAGAACTTGTATCAGTGTAATACAAAACATATATATACATATATATAAATAAATAAATATATATATATATATATGTATATGTTTGTATGTATGTATGTATGTATGTTTCAAGATAACAAAAAATAAGCTACATTCAAGATACAAGAAAATTATTTGGAGTAGATGCTAGAGGAAATGATAAAATAGTTCAATCTTCTTCCTAGAGCAATTGAGATTGCACCGATGAAAATAGTGAAGTTATACTCAAGGGCAAACAGACCTCATAACTCATACTGTCTGGATCAATATCATCCTCCCTTGCAACCTGCATCACCAATTGCAAGAATTTAGTTTCAAATGCACGAATCATCATGCTCATAAAGAAGACTAAGTATGATCCAAATTACCTGGGAAGATGGGCTTGCAGAATTGTGCTCAACATTTGCAGTGGAAGACTGTGCAGGAGTTATATCTTGAATAGAAGGTGTTAAATAACAAATGTTAGCAGTAAAACCATCAAATCTTCATCAACAAAGATAGATACACATAAAGAGCAGAGAGAAAACTTCATAAGGTCTCAACTTTTATGGGGTCAGCTAAACCTTTAGGTGCCATTGGGCTCTGTTATAAAGCTTGACATATGTAAATCTCAAAGCTGGATTAGTAACTGATAATAGTGACAGTGGTTTATTTAGTGAAATTTGCTGAACAACCACAAGCTATCCTTCCCTAAGTTTTAGACCCCAAAGAGGATAATTCTCTCTGGAGATGCTCAACAGGTATGACCGTAAGTGGTTCGACATCATAGATGATGGAAAACGAATTTAACTTTATAGTGCATAAAGGCATTGTTGCTTGGGACCATTTTAGTTCTTGCTGAAATGATTCTTGGAAGCTAGATAACTGGCTGGATAATACAGAAAGATTCATGTAAAGAAGGAATACCAATGGATGAAATATTTGACTTAAAAAGGCTGTATCCATTAAAAGAACAGAATAGATTTCAGGTTTTGTTTATTATCCTTCATAACAATCCAAGGGTAAATCCACAAACGGAAGATGAACAGGAAAACTGAAGCACTAATGCAGTAAGTATATAAGCAATCAGGCTATTAATTCCACTTAAAACATCAATCTGAAAAGGATTGAAGTTCCTTGGAGACGATCTTTACTAGCTTCTATTTTGGTAATTTCACCAAGTGAAGTATCAGCAAGCTGATTCTCTAATTCCTGCAGTTCTCTGGCAAAAGCTTCATCATTAGCTAGCTGTGACTCAAATCTAGCAGTTCCTGAAGAATTGCTTTCTCCCATGCTTTTATTATGGCCATTATGCAGCCTAGAACTGGCACTTGATGAATCTTCCGATATGTCACTATGAACATTTCTTTGAAATGACCTGTACATGCTTTCCTGAAAGGAATGGTTGCACAAAATACAATGAATTAAAACAAATAATTGCTTCCTGTGCGATGAATAAAGACCTATTTCTCAGCACAAATCATGTAATTATTTCATTACCTAACTGGTTGATTCAGAGATTCTACATAATGGAACATATGAATATAAAACTATATATATAATGTACACACACACACATGCAAATCGGTGACAGAGCACGTATGGCATAAGAAAGAAAATGGAATGCAGAAGTTTCACGAATGCTATTTTAATAAGGTTGTCTTATTCTCCGGTAGATAGTTGTGGGACCACTATGACTTGCTCTTTAGGTTATGTAGAATCCCACTGTTCACACAAGAAGGTCTAGTGGTAAGGCAGGATTAAATAGCATTTGCTAGATTTATTGTCAGAAACTCTGCAAAATTTTATTTCTAGACGATGAAAATTTATTGCAACAGCATGAAATAATTACAGAAAAGATATTTCAATTATAATATGTAATAAGATTTCCGAACACTTTTTGGTACACACCAATCCCAGATAGGCTGATTATGTAATGCAGTGTTGTGTGTCAATCTTGTGCATGGTTGGATGCCACACCTTACTCCAAGATGTTACATGAGCATGTGATCATTATCATGCTAATTTTAATTCAACCACATGAAATGTTCTCTTCCCTTGTCAGGGTAAAGCTGCCTTAACTGACCGTCCCCAAGCCACACATTTTTGACGAGTTGGGGAGTTCTGGGGGTTCAATTAGGAAAACATTTAATCACTCTTTCTCTATAAGTTTGCCATTAGAAGCTCTGGAAAGTGTTTCCTGAAGTACTGAACATGGAGAAACCCAAATGGGAACTACTCTTTGCTTTTGTCAAACAAAAACTTAACTAGGATATATTTTCCTGCATGATAAAGAAAAAGAGCCTTACTAGATAGTTAGCTCATATAGGCCATACTGCAGCCAATACTGCCATGTTATTTCCAATGAGAATCAGATAACCATTAGCACATGCTTGATGCAGAAATGTTGTTGAAGCATTATACATTATCATTCACCAAGGAACTTAGTTAACGATTAAGATAAAGCAAAATGTTGTTGAGGCATCATACACTATCATTCACCAAGGAACTTAGTTAACAATTAAGATAAAGCAAGAGGGAAACATGAATGTATAACATTCAAAAGGAAATTATCAGTTTAACATACAGTCCAGTTCTGCTTTGGCTAAGAGAAATTAAGTACAGCTACAACCACATCACCTGATAATTATTTTGAGAGACAAATGAAAAATTGGACAACACCTACCTGATTCTGAAGCTCCTCAGCCCATGCAACGTCATCGTAACTGTGTAAATAGCCTCCAAAATTCTCTTCCACCACATAAGGTACAGGGATATTCATGTAATGGACATTCACCTGCTTCTTTTCCTTTGTGTCGAATTCCATTGCCATGACTGCCAAGTATTAGGAAAGAGATTTACAAATGCTTTATACAGAGTATAAATAAAATTTGGTGTACCTTTATCTATACTGTTGTACTAAATACATGTGGGTTAATTTGAAGGCTGAGTTCTCGTTACGCATAATGGTAAAACTATTACCATTGTGCAACAGTAACTCAATATATGCAGAAGAAAAGAGTTTCAAGCATTTTGTAAGCAGCTTTCAACTGACAAAGCACACGGTTGAAGTGCTCGAAACCAAATTTATACGAAAATATTAAGCATCAAATTCATCATAGACTGTTTTATTATTCTCGATGATGCTCCTCCAAAAAATAAAAGGGACAAGAGAAATTTTCAATCAAGTAGCAAAAAGATTTATTTAATATAACTTGGAGCAGAAAAGCTTTAAATGAAAAAGAAAAGTAAGAATGTGATTTCTGTCATACTCCATCTGCCAATACTGTATCAACAAGATTCAATATTGACTATCTTATTTTTTGACAAAATTTTTTTGAATATTACTCACGGGATTAGTAGCTCAGACCAGAGCTACCAGACATTGCTAAATCTTGTAGTAACAGAAATTTGGAGCTCATTTTTATTTCCAAACATTTCTCAGAATCCAAAGAGACAAATTATCTTGTCAAGATATATAGAATTTTATAGATGAAGAACATCGTTTCTTTTTATTCATAATCTAAGGAATCAAAGGACATACAACTAAGATTATCAGCCAAGGATAGCTCAATATAAGAAATTCATCAAAGCAACATTTCAAACAGCATGGACAAAAATATGAGTTTAGGCAAGAATAAACTTATAGACCATAACATGGCTCTAATTGTAAGCATCCACAACATGTTATTCCAATCAGCAGGAAGAGGGGATGGAGCAAATTTCTCTTCAATTTCAACAGAAATAGTTCACCACTTCAACTGAGACACGAGAACCCAGATGGATTTATCATACACCTAAAGATCCCTCCTTTTCCCCCTAATGGTTTCGAAAATATCGGTCATAAGAACAAAAGATCCATCGGACAGGCAAAGAAAAAACTCGATAGATAAATAGAGTCCAAAGTTCAAAACTTTGACGGAATTATTCCAGCAAAATGTCCCAAGAAACTTACTTTCTTGCAGACAGCGAAGAAAATAACAAGATACCCAGCAGGATTCAACGCAAACCCTCAAGAATTCCGAGGAAGCAGGGAAGAGCCCTCACCTACAGGTAAGCCTCCCACTCGCCCTCCGGAGCTTACGGCAGATCGATCAAAGCTTGTCGGCAGATCGCCATATACCCTGACGGAAACAGAATGCACCTTTCCATCCTCACGAGAGCCGCACCCGCAGCCCACAAATGCACCCTTCTAAGGAGGGCGTGCGTCCGAGGGTCCCCCTGTGTGCGTGTTGTCCATCCAATCAGGGGAAGCATAGACGAACGAGTACGACACAGTAGGAAAAGGTGCGGCTTTCGATCTTTTACTTGGTGACGTTGAATCCGTTCTTCGATCGCAATAACGTGTGGTGCCTGTTGAAGTCATCGAACGCCAAGCTAGCTAACGAACACTTCATTCTCACTGTGCAGTCCAAATCATTAAAGGTTGATCTGCTTCTTTGCAGGTGCTTCACCAATTCATATTCATCATCGGACCGTTCTTCTTCATACTAGTTGAGCTGCACGTTGCCAGTTCAAAGATCTACGGAGTGCTTTGCTGAACACAGACATCCCAGTGGGAGGAACAGAAGCTTCATGCAGAGCCGCCATGAATTAATCCTCCACCATCAGTTCATTAACTTCACTGTCTTCACCACTGCTGCGATGTCTCAAAGCAATCAGAATTGGCACCAACAACGCCAAATCGACCATGACTCGGGAACTAAATGAATCGTTTCCTGCTACACCTTCATACCTTGCTGGATCAAAAAGATCATTCCATGTGAAAGAAACAAGTCAAAACATCTCACCAGCATACAAAAGGCGACAATTTGGCATTCTCTGAAGCCTCATCTGCAAGTCTTCTACGTGATATCATTTCTGTGAAACGTAGGAAGAAATGGTCAGCAATTAATGAAAGGGGTTATTATTGACATGATTGTGGTGTAATTTAAAGGCCCAAAAGTACGGCCCACAAGTGGAGCCCATTTAATGCGAAGACCCGAGTTAAGCCCATTTCCGCAACAAGTAAAGGTTAGCATTCCGCGCCGCCGAAACCCTCGTGAGTCGCCGCCGCTCGCCGCTCGCCGCTCGCCGCTTTGATATCTTCATCTCTGGGGTTTCCCTCTCTCTCTCTCTCTCAGCGGCTTTGCGAAGGTAGTCTTCGAAGTTGGGAAATCTTGGTGGTAGGTTTCCGGTGCTTTCATCATGTTGGTGTCCAGGGTTTTGGGGCGAGTGCTTTGCGCCGCTTCCAAATCGGAGTCCTTTGCGACTTCCGCCGCGGCGGCCGCTGCAGATTCGGCTAGGAGGGCACATAATCCTCTCGAGGAGTTCTTTGAGGTGGACAGAAGCACGGATGAAGAAAAACCCGTCGTTTATGGTATCGTTTTGATCCCCCTTTTGTATCTTTAGGATCTCTCTTTCTTTTCATGCCTCGTTTTACCTAAAGCCTGTTCAGTCCATTTTGTTCATTGAATGTGGAAAGATTGCTGCAGGATACAATTGCTTTTGACACCCTCTTCTATGTTTTCTAGTTCTAATCACAATTTCAAGAACAGCTTTTACTTCTTGTGAACTTTAGATTACTTCCATCCTTTTTGTCCAGTCTCTAGTTTTAAATACAAAGCACCTTATGCTTCTCATAATCTTGAAATATTCCCTTATTTGCTTCGACAAGCCTCTACATCGGTTTCTTCCTTTTTTTCTCCATTTATATTTGTTTTCTTTTTCTTGGTGTTAGGGTGTCTATCTTGCTCCTAGATCTTCACCAGGTGCCCATCACCATTTACTATCTTGTGGATTCTTATTTTGCGGGCATGGTTTATTCATGTTGGAGATGTTGGGGTTTTTAGCGGTATTGAATGATAACAATACACTGTATGCCATATATCATCAGTAACAATTATGCATTACCTGAAATCATTGTATTTTGTTCGACCTTTTTTACAGGACGTGGTTGGAAGGCTTCTGAATTGCGTCTCAAATCTTGGGATGACCTTCAGAAGCTGTGGTACGTCCTTCTGAAGGAAAAGAATCTGCTAATGTCTCAACGCCAAATGCTTCATGCTCAGAACCTTCGCTTTCCTAACCCAGAACGAGTTCCGAAGGTTCGTGTTATTTTTACCTTGTCATCATTTCAGAATTCAAATCTTTATTGATTTGATTTGTGTATCTCTAAGTGTTGATTTAATTAAGGTGGTATGGATTTTGTAATTTTCCAAAGCATAATTACGGTGGTATGGATTAAAGTGAGTAATCCATTCCTCTCGTAAGAGACACGACCATGATAAAATTGCTTTATCTTAGATAATGTTGAAGAATAACAAGCTGTCTGAATCTCTTTATTTGTATCTTTCACCTGGTTTTATCTAAATTTTCAATTGAATATTATATTTTGGTTATCAGTCAACAATTTTTCCATTTGTGCCATGAACATAAATTGAATGGTTCTCTTACCCAGGCATATGGAAACAAGCACAGAACAATTGCAGACGTGGCCTTGCCATCGATTTGTTGACCTTTGATTTTCTCTGCCTTGATGTTGTTTCGTGAAGAGAAGTGATGATAATAGAATAAGCAGCATGTCTCTCTGCTCTTATCTCGACCATCATTTATGACTTTTATGCATAACTAGAATATCTCTTGGGATGAGGAACAATTATATTATCCATAAGACCACATTCAGTTCATCTACTCTTTTGCTTACCCATTTTTTTCTGCTGTTCTTATAATATAAATGTATCTCTGCTGCTCTTTGATGCATTTATAATTAATGGAGAAGATTCTACAGTTGCCCGACTGCAGTAGCTGGCCCCTTTTGACAATAGACCTGAATTTTATATGTAGGTAAGGAAGTCAATGTGTCGAATAAAGCACGTCTTAACTGAGAGAGCAATTGCTGAACCTGATCCAAGGAGGTCTGCTGAAATGAAGAGGATGATTAATGCCTTGTGATGTTATCTGTTTTCCTTTTGAATTCTAGTATTATCTTATGTGCTTTTTTCCCAAGAAGATACAATCAAATGTCAAAATCTATTGGGCAACTGAGATCCTTTTTTATGCTTGAAAGGTTTCTTTGTTCTGTTGTGCAATATGTACTCAGATCCTTGATTTGCTTAAAACTTGATCTTGAATTTGTATGCACAAATGAGATAATCCTTCTTTTAGCGATCTTGCTATATATATATATATATATATATAT